ATCATCGAGCTGCTGAGATGAGAGAAAAGGCTGGTGGGTTTATTCTTTATGCACGATAGGGGGTTGGGGAAGGGTTGAGGGCGGCGGATTCTCTGCTGCGGGAGGCTTGAGGTTTTCTTCGCTTGGGGGAAGGAAAGCAGAGAGGCGGCTGGTTTCTATTTGATGGCGTTTGGGAATAAAAGGAGAGCGGCTGGGGATGTAATTACATGAAGGGGCCGTTCGGCCCCAGGTCGAGTATACCCTTTTTTTTAATAATAATAATAATAATTGTTATTATTATCATTACTATTAATCCGCGATCGCAACTCCTAGTACGCCACTGTCAACCCAGCCGATTACGTATCATGGTCAAACGATAATCCAAAATTCAGGGTGTTACACCTTAGGCACCTGTTTCACATCATCCGAAAGAACAAAATCACTAGTGTGGTTCGCTTTGAGTGGCTAACCTCCACTTCCAAACATACCCTTCGATTCCATTTCCTTTACATCACCCTTCTTACTCTTAGTGTCGAACGAAAAGGTAATTTGTTCCTCTCCATCTCTCAATATCAAAGTACCATCATTAACTTCAATTAACGCCTTGGTGGTGGAAAGGAAAGGGCGTCCTAGTATGAGGGGCATATCCACATCTTCGCTAATATCCAAGATAATGAAATTCTTCGGATAACTAATGTGCCCACCCTCACTATGACATCTTCCACAATACCCATAGGACTAATTGTCGAACAGTCAGCCAAGGTAACACTTAACCTAGTGGGTTTCAATTCACCTAGGTTCAATCTCTTATAAATCTTAAATGGCATGACGTTAATGCTTTCTCCTAAATCCGCCAAGGAGTTTTCTATATGACATGCTCCAATGCAAAGAGGGATAGTGAAACTACCCGGATCTTGTTGCTTTTTAGGCAACTTGTTCTGGATAAAGGCTGAGCACTCCTCGCCCAAAGTGATGGTGGCAAAGTCTTCAAGCTTGTGCTTCTTTGCAAGAAGCCCTTTGAGGTATTTTGCATACCTTGTCATGTACGCCTTTGCCTCCAAGAAAGGCATGGTAATGTTGAGTTTCGTGAGCATCTCCATGAACTTCCCACACTCCGCCTCCAATCGGTCATTATGCACCCTTGTAGGGAAAGGAAGAGGAGGCTTGTACTCAGCCACTTGAGCATTGGCGATGCCTTCTTAGTCTCTTATTCCTCCCCTTTAGTGCCTTCTTGATCATCGACCATTGGAGGAGTCTTCTCTTCTTCGGTTACTTATTTAGCAACAACTTCTGGAGTTACCTTCCCGATCCTCAAGAGAATAGCTTTGCCACCGGCGTTTTTATCTTTGGGATTAGCAATAGTTTGGGAAGGTAGATCTCCCCTCGGTCTTTCGGTGAGGATCCCGGCAAGATTTCCAATTTGAGTCTCCAAGTTTTGAAGACTCGCTTGATGACTTCTTAGACCCGCCTCAACCGAAGAAAACTTGGTTGTTGCTACATCCATGAATTGGTCAATCTTCTCAAACTTCTGAGAGCTTGTACTCACAAAGGTGGTAACTAGGTCTTCAAGTTTTGCAAACTTGTCGGTTGTTTTTGTTGGTACCCTTGACCACCTTGCACTTGGAATTGTTGTTGAAAGTTCGAGCCTTGAAATTATGGTCTTAGTTGAATGAAATGAGGCCTTGTTTGATAATTCCCCGTTGTTCCTTGGAAATCGGGGGGGGGGGGGGGGGTCTTGGATTGCTTGGGGAAGACAAAGAGAAGTTCAGATGGTTTTGCCACCTCGGGTTGTAAGTGTCGCTATAGAGGTTGTTGTTCCTCCTAGCATTAGCGATGAAGCTCACCTGGGTGTTGCTCCCCCTAGCTAACAATCATGGTTTGTCGGATTGAATGCAAATGCATGGTAAAGCCGGTTGTAAACCGTAGGGATGTGAAACAAGTGAACAATCATCTCTCTCTCGATCTCTAGGCCAAGGGATATCAAATCAAGCTACCAAGGTAGCTCTCTTGACCCAATCGACTAAGGGTTGCTTATTTCACCCTCTAATTATAGTTCGGACAGCCAAATTACAACCTACCAAAGGTGCTAATACATATTAAGAGATTTTCCCTAATTCAACCTAGATAGGTGACACAATTGGCCAAGGAATTCCAACTTTTACAAGTCTCTTAACAAGAAGAGGATTTCCCTCTACCTATGTCAAAATGGCATAAGAATTGGAAATGCAAGAACAGACACAATCTTCATGAAAATACCTCATAATTTGTGTTAAAACACAACCACACACAAGTCATTCAATTCATATAAACATTCACATAATTGTAACTAGGGTTTACAAACACCCAAGTGAAAGAAAGGTCTACTCCATGCTAAATAGAGGGAATACCAAGGGAGAAGAGACAAAACAACTTAGAGATGTTTGCCTTCTTCCTTGTGGTGTGGAGATCAACCTTTGGAGGAAAACTTCCCAAAACCTAGCTCTTGGATGAAACCCTAACTTCCCTTCTCCTCTTGTTCGTCACTTTCTCACTCTAGAAATTTGAAGAAGAAGAAGAAGTCGTCGAAGTCTCTCTCACTAGGTTCCTCCTCTTTTCTCCTTCAGCTCAGCCCCCTTTATATACCCAGATCAATGGAGTTTCACGGTCCCAGTTCACGGTCGTGAACATCTGGCCTGGACTGTGATGTCGAGCAAAAATGCCCTGTTTCATTAAGGGAGTTCACGGTCTGGAGCTGGTCTTCACGGTCGAGTGACCGTGAACTGGTTTATGCCCGCGAGATGGACAAAATCTTATGGACTCCTCGCCCTTCACGGTCTGGATGACCGTGAACTTCTGGCATCCACCGTGATCTGCTTCTGTTGCTCCCTTTTGACCGATTTTCGTCCCTTTTCGTCAAAATTTTGTTCCATGGATTGTTTTCACCTACTAGGATCTGAAACATACTAAAAACAACCACAATCTAGCCTAAAACCGAACCTCACGGAGTAAAAGTATTTCAAACATCTAAGGATAAAGGGGGTAAAAAGTGTACAAATAGACCGAATCAATATGCTTCTTGATAATAAGAAAATATTTAGTCCTGAACTATCCCGTAACATCTCAACATCATTTTTTCTATTGTCGTCAGCCAGAGTCGAGGTGGTGCCAATGACCTAGGACCTAGGTCCCACCACTAGATGCACCTGGAGCCTCTGTGGCATGCTCAATTCTCTCTCCGTCTTTTCCGAGAAAAACGGGTTTCTTGTATGTGTTTTTTATCATAGGTTATTTATTACGTTAGTTTGCACATGCCTAACATACCTTGTGCTTTTAATCAGCTGTTAATATAGGAGATCATGGAGATTCGAGCACATAACCACTTGATCAAAACAGCTCTGATACCATGTCATAAACTAATAGATTACAATAAATTGAGTTGTTGGGAGATGCTCATTATGGATCTTATCGCATTTACTAACATTCCATCTCAAACGAAAGTCAATTCATGTGGGTTTGAAGTTTGCACAGTTCTGAAAAATCGTGTGCTTATGAAAGAGGGTCGTCGAAATTCGAATAGAAGACCTCTCAGTAACATAAAGCTCTGATATCATGTTCACGAACAACTCACTTATTCCCAATAACTTAAATTTTTTAGAGAAGGTTAATTATGCATCTTGTATCACTCTCTTGCACAAGGGCGGAGCTAGGCGGTGCTTCGCCCCCCCCCCCCCCCCTTCCCGAGATTTTTGAAATCGCATACAAAATTCTATCGAGGTTTGAAGAATTACATATAAAATGAAGATTAGTATAAATACAAATTGTGTGCAATAATGAAGCATAAGATTTGTGTGTAGTCCAGCGGAGCAGAAGTTGATTGTTGTCATTCATGGTCTTAGTTCCAAACCTGTTGCCAGCAAATTGTTATTGATTTTTTAACCTTCTTAACTGACTGTGATCAAAAACCATATTTAATAGTTGCAAACCTGTTGGCAGCGAATTGTTATTGATTTTTTAACCTTCTTAACTGACTGTGATCAAAAATCATATTTAATTGTCTTTAACCTTTTTAATTGAGCGTGACCAAAGACCATGTTAATTTTTTTAACCTTGTTAATTTAGTTTTACCATGAAGCATATTTAACTTTCATAATTTGTTTTACAAGTCATGTCATTTTGAAGTAGCTTAATTATGTTCTTCAAATTTTAAATTTATATTTCTAATAGTAGTTTTGGCATTTTCTTTATTTCAAATATTACAAATAAATTACAAATAAATACAAATATTAATTATATTTTATGATATATTCTCTTCTACATATTACACTTTCTAAACTTCGGCCCCCGACGGTCAAATTCTGGCTCCGCCACTACTCTTGCACGGTGATCTATATTAGAATTAAAGATTTATAACTCAACTGAGATTTTTGCTTGTTTTATCTTGTAGAAAGCAAGTAACCTATTCTACCAAAAAAAAGAAAGCAAGTAACCTAGAGGCCCATAAAGATCTTAAATGAAAACTAATTGCTATGAGTGTTCAAGTGGACCAATAAAGACTGGTTTTCTAAACTTGAAACTTGATTAAAAGTTTTGATTACAAAGTAGTGAGTAGTAACCAAATTGCGAATTGAACAACAGAAAATTGAGGAAAAGGAGTTGTTGAGTGGGAAAATTGAGATAGCCAGTGATTCCCATCAGCGAGGAGATGATGTCGTGTGATTCCATCAACTCAACTTGAATGGATTTTATCTATGGATATTGGATTGGTTGGATAAGCTCTCCTCCTGCATTAGACAATCGCCATTAACATAAACAAAAACTGAAATTCGGAATAATAATATTAAAAATTTCGCGGGTCTTGACAAATAGGAAGCAAGAAAAAAAAAAAATCGGGCGGTAAAGTTGAAGCGATGACGTAACAAAAGCAAACAGTTTAAGAAAAAATTCGGAAAAGCATTGTTAGAATCCACGTAGATACGCGCTTCCGGACTGGGGTGCGTAATACGCCATTGTCTTTTAACGTTCTCCTTCCTTCCTGTGTTCACGAGAAAAAGAGAGAGAGAAGAACAAGAGGAAACAGAAGCTAGCCAAGCCCAGCCATGGCTGCTTTACTTCCTTCCTTTCTCTCATGACCAAATTTCCCTTTCTTCCAGCTTTCTGCAATTTTCAGCGCCTCAAGCAACTAACTGAATCACGCGAACGGCGTCTATCGCCGGCCGGCGTTCGTTGCCGATCGCTGCTTACAATTTCACTCTTCAGAATCGTTGTTTTCTCTCCTCTGTTTTTGTTTCTTCGGCGGAGTGTTTGGATTCTGTGATTCTGTATGTGTTTGCTATGGGAGACACGGAGAGCTGCAGCAGCAGAGCTGTTGATTTCGTGCCGGCGGTGAGCAGGAACCAGAGGCAGAAAGTTGCGGTCTACAATGAAGTCCTCCGCCGGCTTACGAACTCCAATGACGAGGAATCCGGCCTTCCAGGCTTCGAAGACGAGCTCTGGAATCATTTCCTCCGTCTTCCCACTAGGTAATGTTCCGTTCCGCCGCTTGATTCTTGATTCCGTTCCGTTTTCCTCCTCCTCCCTGACAGTTTGCAAACCGTATCCATATTCATCGATCAACCAAAATTGGCTAGCTCACAACAGCAGGGATACCGTAGACCGTACGGATTCTGGCTTCACTCTTTCCGTACTTGTTATTTTGAACTGGTTTGTTCATCGCTGCCAAATGCATTTTGCATGCCGGAGCTTCTCCTCTAGGTTTCGCCGGTAACTGCTTATTAGTTCCCTCCGCCGATTATATGGTTGCTTCTCGAGGAATCTTCCAATTCCGATCGTTTATTGCTTCACTAGTCCGTTGTGTTTTTTCTGGTTACAGTGATTTCTAATTTTTTTCTCGATTCCGCAGATACGCGCTGGAAGTGAACGCGGAGAGGGCGCAGGACGTGCTTATGCACAAGAGATTACTGCAGATGGCTCATGATCCGGCTACTAGGCCGGCAATTGAAGTCCGGCTGGTACAGGTAAAAGATTCAGCTGTCGATTCCATTAGATGCCCTGGTCTCTTACTTTTTGACCTTTTTGCTTGAAACGTTTTTGCCGTTGGCTTATCAGCATATTACTCTAGATTCCTACAGTCTGCTTTCATTAATTTATGGCTGAAGTATTGGTAGGGTAGGTAGATTGGGAGGTTTGTTTGTGTTCCAGAAAATACCGTAAGGCTCTGTGGATGCGATTTTCTTAACAGTTTGATTATACACACAGTTGAAAAGCACATAGAAAAAAAAGGGGAAGAAAAGAAGTCTGGGAAAGAAGGGGGCCAGCAAATTTCGAGACGCTTTCCTTCCCCTTTTTCGTTCTTTCCCCCCTTCCAAACGGGCTTGCTTTTTCCACTTGCCGATTATTTGCCTGTTCACTGAACAGTTGACTTCTGATCTTCCAATTGACAATCACAAGCACTGTTTTGCTGATCTTGCTGTGTTAACTCATGCGGTACTGAAGTCATTCGAGTTCCATCTTCTAATATTGGAGCCTTTAGGATGAACTTTCGTAGTTCTCATGTGAATTTGGCGATTGGGGTTGTCAATCTTGTTAATGGTTATACTGAATAGCTGAATGAAATACTAAATGCGATTGATTCTCACTGATGAAACACTATGCTCCACTGTGTTGATCTAATGAAGCTATGATAGTTTGCTTTGACACGGCCGTCTTGGCTGATTCATGAGGGGTTTTCTTCATGCTTTTTTCTCTTTGCAGGTTTATTCTGCATCCCATGGAAACTCCGGTGACTCTGCTCATGCTGACTTTCCCAAGAAAAAGCAACCTCAATCTTCTGATCGACCCTTGAAGCAGAGGCATGGGCTATTCGTATTCTGCTAGCTATTTGATTTGCTCTAATGGGTAATTTTGCCGACTCATTTGCCTCTTTGTATTATCCCAGCCTCCATCCACCACCTGCCTTTGGTTCATTGCCAGACCTAGAACTTGCATATGAAGCTCAAGATAAGGATACCGGCAGTGTAATTTACTCTCGGTAACAATTCTCGGAAGCCTTCTCTTGCTTGTGAACTTGTAGCTGTCCTTGGTTTAATGCATCATGAATGCCAGTTGGTTATATTTCTGAAGATTCAATTCTTCTGATAGTTGTTTACAATGCTGCAGCTTCAAAAGAGTTATTGCTATTACTTTCTTTTTTTATTACTTAGGTCCAAGTTACCTGTAACTTCTTTTGTCTTGTAGTATGCTTATCCTTCATCATACATTTGCCATATACTCAAAGATTTCCATGTCATTCCTGAGCACCCACTTCTTAACTGAAACATTATTCTTTCTTTGCTATAGGCTTATGCATGAAATCACAATTTCCACGAATGATAAGCCAAAGCTTCTGAGTCAGGTATCTGGATTTCTTAACTAGAGCTTTTTAGCATTCTTTATCTCTGTTCTCTTTCATCTGTTGATTTTTTCATCTTCCATCATGCCATTTATTTCAGTTAACTTCCTTACTCTCTGAGCTTGACCTAAATATACAAGAAGCACATGCTTTTTCCACCACAGATGGGTACTCATTAGATGTGTTTGTTGTTGACAATTGGAGCTCTGAGGTATACCTCTACCCTTGTCCATGCAGTACTTGATTAACTTGATTTTCATTTGCTTGTTGGCTTAGAATACTCATTTTAGAGCGCAGGGACATATTGAATATGGAAAAATTTAATCATTTGAACTGGACAGTATTCTATTACTCCGTCATAGCATCTTGATAGTCTGTGTGTGGGGTATTGGAATTCTTTTGATGTGTGCCGTGCTGTTTCTACCACCTGTTCACCTACTAGTGAACCATCATTTCATACTTATCAGCACCGACTCCTGTTTTTGTGATTCACAGGAGACTTATAAACTAAGAGTCGTGCTGGAAAATGAAATTCCGAAGATTGAGGTATCCACTTCAGCTTGATGCTCCACTAATTAGAGATCAGAGTAGGGAAGTTAGTTGATTTTTTATTCTTGCCTTACTAAACCATAGCCACAATATTTTAGTCTTCAGCTCTCCTGATTAATCAAGCTTACCAAAAAGGCAAATGTACTGAACAATATTAGAAACTTCATCAAGAGCTTAATCAGCTTTTTTTATATTTAGCTGTAAGGGTAATGCTGAAGAATACGGCATGAGTTCTCATTTAATTTTTCCTGTTGTGAAGCAAGACCAAACAGGAACGAATCCCAGATCTTCTGAAATGAGCATCCCAACTGTGCCAATTGATGTTTGGGAAATTGATGCAAGATTACTGAAGTATGAGTACAAAGTTGCATCTGGACCCTATGGAGACACGTAAGTTTTGATGACTTCAACATCGTTCACTGGATAGTGGATCCTATAATTACTGTTGATTATTAATATGACTCTATCGAAGCAGGTATAAAGGCACCTTCTGTAGTCAAGATGTGGCTATCAAGCATTTCAGGGCAGAGCACCTATGCAAAAAACTTCAAAAGGAATTCGCTCAAGAAGTCTTTATTATGAGGTTTGTAAACTGTAAAATTCTTTTCCCTGAAAATTCCCCACAGTATCATCTAGTCGTCTTGATAACCTTGCTATTCCTGTTCTCTTCTTCCTTGTTGTAATTTTATCCGTTTGCTGAAATATGATATCAAATGAAATTTTAAGGAAATAGACTGGATAAAGCTGTGCACTTAATCTAAAATCACCATTTTTGTTAAACGTAAATTAATTAGCTTCATGATGGTCCCTTGTCATACCATCCTCGACATGTGTTTGCTGCATTATTCCATTTGCTCTGCAGGAAAGTCCGGCACAAGAATGTTGTTCAGTTCATCGGTGCATGTACCAGGAGGCCAAACCTATGTATTGTGACAGGTAAACAAAAACTGAATATATCTCATAAAATCAGCTGATTATATGTTGGTGATCTATATGTTAGATTGTGGACAAATAGGGTGACATTTCTATTTATTTTCACTTTATCTTCTTTTCCCTTCGTAAATTTTTTTGCACTCAGAATTTATGTCTGGTGGAAGCATGTACGACCATCTGCATAAAAGGAAGGAATGTTTTAATCTTCAGTCCTTACTCAGAGTAGCAGTTGATGTATCCAGAGGAATGAACTACTTGCACAGAAATAACATAATCCACAGAGACCTGAAAGCTGCCAATCTTCTAATGGATGAAAACGGAGTGAGCAATTTGCCGTCTTTTCTTTATAATATTTACTTTCATGTCGCAGTGCCCTTTCTCCTTGAATCGTGTCATTGCATACTTGAGCTCCTCCCAAGCAATGGAAAAATGAAGATGCTTCACAAACTTTTTAAAAAAAAAACCTGCAGGCTGAAAGAAAGGGGAACTCTGTTAATTATTTGAATGAGATATATCCTGGAACCTCAATAGAACTCTTATCTCGTTGCCCTGCATTAAAATTACAGAAAACTTGGTCTTCAGGTTGTCAAGGTTGCTGATTTTGGTGTTGCCAGAGTGCAAGATCGTTCAGGAGTAATGACTGCAGAAACTGGAACGTACCGTTGGATGGCTCCGGAGGTATGTGATACCTTTCACCTCTAGTTTCCAAACTGGTGGAAGCTTCCTCTCCCTTTCCCTTGACTCGACTAAACCTACTCTTCTGCCGTGCACTATCCTTACTGATTTTTATTTTTCTTTTCTCACTCTAAAAGGTTATTGAACACAAACCATACAATCACAAAGCTGATGTTTTCAGCTTCGGCGTTATGCTGTGGGAACTACTCACAGGAAAGGTAATGCTAGTACCCACTGCCTTTATCTTCAATGTTCCATATTCTTTATGCCATTCTTTACAATCTACTTTCTTAGTAAGGGGAAGTCAAGTTTGAACAGCTTATCATTTTTCTCTGTAACTTCTTGTCAGGTCCCTTACGACAACTTGACCCCATTGCAAGCTGCAGTTGGCGTAGTACAGCAGGTAATCTCTGGTTTTCTTCTTCCACCTGAAACTGTAGGCATTTGTCAGTCTTTCCTTCTTTGTATGATTACACTTTACATATAACCACTAGAAAATAAGACCATTATTAGCCCAAGCCACATGATAAGCTTGCTTTTCTGATCTAACATTATTATATAGGGGCTGAGACCATCCATCCCAAAGAACACCCATCCCAAATTGGTGGAACTTCTTGACAGATGCTGGGACAGAGACCCATGTTTGAGGCCTGAATTCTCTGAAATTTTGGAACTTCTACAGAACTTACAGGGGATGGTAAACTCAAAATTCATACACTGATACTGAAATTTCCACATTTCCACTCTGCATATTCTGAAAAAGGTTCATCGTCGTTCGATGATAATTCCTTCAACAGGTCACGGAGGAAGGAGAAGACAGGGTGAAACACAAGGTATCTAGGAAAGTAGTAGCTGCAACGGGCTGAGAAAGGGAGTTTGAGGTTGCAAGAAGTGAGAAAACTTTGTACATAACGTTTGTTGTAGTAAAATCTCACCCTTGAGAAACAATTGATTTATGTGTTTACATTTTTGTTTGTTCTAAGTTAGTAACCAGTTTTCTCTTTCAACAACTTGTACTAATGTTTAACTGTTGTTCAGCTTATGAGAGTGGTATGCACGATCTCGCGCTGGAAATAATTGTAAACTTGCTAACTCCATGTATTCCGAGGAAATATACAGCTCGAAGTTAGCAAGAGCGGAAACTTAATTGTTCATTTTTTGTTTTGTAACACTTTTGCTTGCACCCAAGACTCAGGTCCCCTTCAAGAACACTTCTCGAGGCATGATGATGAGGCTGGAAGCTGTAACAGATGTATTCCACACCGGAAAAAGGTAACTCCGGTATTTGATTAATTTGTGCCCCAGAACCTGAACTTTGAGAATATGTTGTATTTTCCTTGACTTGAAAAGATCATATTACTGAATCAATGTAGGTGCATATTAAGTAAAAATTGTTCAGTGGAGGAAGAATAACTTGGATTATCTGTGCACTGTCGGGAATTGCCCAAAAGACAACATATGCTGTTACTAGAAATAACACCTGATATTATAATAGGCATTAAGTTGATAATCACTAGTTGCTAGTAGCACTAGCATCTTTGGTCTATTCAGCTGATGTGGAACCCTCTTATAAATTAGTACCCTTTTTTGCTTGCCGTAGCTTTACACTTCATATTGCAGTCGTCAACTCTCTACGTTTTCAAGTCCACGGCTTAGATTCTTCAATCATGGACAGTCTTCAATTTGCGTTTCATGTACATTTCATTAGATGGTAATCATGCAGCAGTGTCTTCTAGACCTTATGTGGGTTATTCTATAATATATGATCTGAATCAGTTTTCAGAAAACCATTAACCTTCAACTCAAGAGCATTTCCTCCAATGGAGAGATTGAGAAAGCCTTGAAGTCTTGCTGTTCTCGTGCCAAACTGAAGCAGCAACATGAAGAAAAAGAAGCCCTCTTGAATCACAGCTGTGGCCAGGAAGAGCAGTTAGTTGTATGGTATTCATAATTGCACTCCATGCACAGAAACAATGGGGCTGCTGCTGCTGCTGCTGCAAACCCCAGCAAAGCAAAAGGTATCCTTCGCCGAAATTGCAGAGGAAGCCATGTGGTGCATAGCAGATAAAGACAGCCAACCGTCCCACGATGATGTATCCTTTCGTCGTAACCCATGGAGGTCACTCATGATCAGAACCAAGTCCAGACTAATCGAAGATGAAGACTACAGTATGATCAACTCCAACGACATCAGATCTCCAGAAGGAGACTGCGGCAAAGAAGAAGACGAGGATAACCATGAAGATGTCTCACACAACAACCACCTTAAAACCAGTATTTTCGCAATGCTCATGTGGCAGCTGCCTCATCTCATCTCTCTTAGCCTTACCTTCCACACGCGGCATACCTTCCATGAGAAAACAAACTCTTTGTCTTTGCGACCTTCCTTTATGGAAATGGAAGTTCATGGCTTTGACACTCCTGGGTGGGAACTTGCTCTCTGGTTGGTTGATCAGGTTCATTGTATACTCTGGATGAGCATGTGCTTGACTCGGATGTGAAAGGTGATGAGCCATCCTTGCATACAAGGACTGTGTGCCAACTGCCAAGCAACGGAAGTAGCCAAGATCTTCACCAATGTGGCTGCCCCAGGATCCCAGTAAGCTCTTGCAATAGTATTGGTGGGGTGCGCCAGGCCCTTGCAATAGTGCAACGCATGGGCGACACGTGAGAAGCCCCTGAAGCAAGCTCTAGTAGTGGACTTCTCCCCCTATAAAAATTAATTTAATATCGTGTGGGCCATTGACCCACGTATCAGATATTAAACTGATAAGAACAGATACTACACTTGATCTTAGCCAAAAGGCCGAGAAAGGTATGAATTGGGCCTGCAGCAGAGCTGTCATTTTATACCCGCTCCCCTTGTTTCACAAATTAGCTCAAGCAATGTGGTAGAAAAGCTCCTTCACATTCACAATAGTTGTTCAGAATAATAAGCACAACACACAAGGAACCCAAGAAAGAGAGCTCCTTAATTGTTGTAACCTTAAAACTTTGCTATGGCTTTTGTGGCGGCCCAGACTGGAAATATGTGTTATTCTTAGCTTGATTTGTATGTGACTCATCCATTTTAAGGCGCATGTTTACATGTATATACTTGATCGTTTTATCTGTAGGATCGATTCAATATTGTTCACTCTTGGAGAAGCTTGATGATGTTGGGAATTATAATGATAAAGTTGGTTAATTTATGGATCAAGTTATGTGAATTTCTATTCCATTTGAATTACCCAACTTTTCATTTGAATTAAACAAACCAACTTCCCATTTATCTCCACGTGATGGCAATTGCTTGTGTTTAATTGGATAAGTTTGATTTTGGAATGGAACAACACATCACTCTAAGCAATTTATCCAAACAATGCAATGTATGGTGATTTGGCTGTTTATGCATGAGATCATCACCATCAGGGGCCGCCATTTACTTGGAAGGACACAACTGTTGGCCAAGTCCAAATAATGCAATGTTTCATGAAGGTAACGAGCAAATTGAAGTGTTGTGACCCTTCAAAGTAACGGTTGGTCCTCTATATATTTGGGGACTCGGCTAGTGGTGGTGGTCAGAAAAACATAGACCAAAAAATATTCATTCTTCAATCTTCATCCATCAAAACCTTCTAAGTGTGCTTTAGTTTCTTAAGCCTAGATTCTAAAGTGGTGGTAGTTTTATTCCACGAAGAAATTTCCTCTAACTCTAGGATTTCTGAGGGTGAAAATATTCTTTACGGAAAGTGAACTTCGTTCACGACTCTATCACAATCCTAGTCACCCGGTCTCGGGCTTTCGTACAAATACCCTCGTACTATCTCTTTTTCCAACAAATGAGTTCGTTAGACCACTTTCTCCTACGTCTAATTTGGAACTATGAAGGTGGTTTCATCCTCGTTAAGGATTTCAAGGTGGCCGTTAGGAGGAGACTGATTGTGATTGGAATGCGCCACAACCAGTAAGGGCATCCAATAGCGTCGTCACTGGAATAGAGGTGTGGAAGACATGAACAAGCTGAAACTACAAGTGCTAGTGAGGGTCACAGGGTGAACTTCCATACCGTGGAGGACAGATTCGTGAGGAGAAGCCATCTGATTCATCATTCATGAACCCATCCAAATGATTTGCGGCTTGGGAGTCGTGTACCGAATGCTCCCGTTTGGTGTCAACGTGAGAGATCTTCCGCCTCTCTTGCCCTCCATCACTTGCAGTCGATGAATATCTTCAAAGTGCAATAGTGCATCAAAAGAACCCAGTTATTGTAGTTAAGAATCTTTAAAAATATATAAAGGCTTTTAGAAAAAGCTTCATCCCCGTCAACTTTGCTGGCTTCACATTCGTTTCTCCTTTTGAGAGTTTTAATATTTTTATTTCTCCTCTATAATTTTTTTTATTTCGCCGAGTTTAAACTTACTGGTTTTTTTTTACTCGGAGGTCCAGTGCTATTATAGCTGGGTCTAAACTTGGAGGGCTCAGATTCGAATTTTTTAAATAGCACATAATTAAAAAAATGCAAATACCACAAGAAAATCCGAACTATCGAAAAAGTGTTACTTGTGTCTCGAACTATTCAATATGACATTTATGTTCTGAATATTTTTCTGTTAGTGTTGACCGAGTTTGACTGACAATATTTAACAAAAAAATCCAGTCATCATTGATGTGGCGTCTGATATGTTATTTTTATTTAATTTTCATTTAAAATTATTAAATCTTATTTATTTATTTTTCTATGTCACTTAAAAATATTCAAAATAAATTAAAAATCTTGAGGTGTCATTGACGTGGCATCTAAGTGGCTGCCACGTCAACAAAAGTCAATGTTAAAGTTGATTTACGTCTGGTCAACTGATATCTATAACGGTCAACAAAATCGTCATGACATAAATGACACACAACTATCATACGTTGGGATATAAATGAAATATTGAATAATTCGGGACACAAATGACACTTTTTGGATAGTTTGGGTTTCCCAATGGTATTAACCTTTAAAAAAAAAAATTATATCAACCTTATAAAAAGACTTAACGGTTTTGGAGAAGGTACTACTTAAAGGATTCAAACCTAAGACCTCTAGATTCAAGACTAGTGGTATTACCACCAGACCAAGCCCTTAAGTAATTGTGGAAAATGGTGCGGTCCGAGATCAGACCGGCATGTTAGAACTAGGGGTGTTCAAACGGTGTGGTTACCGTGGTAACCGGTAGTATTTTGATTAATTTGGTTTGATTAATTTGGATAATTGGATTGGTTTGGTTAAAGTTTTTCGCTTGTTTGGTTCCTAACCAATCAAACCAAATTAATCAGTTAAGTAATTATTCATATATCTAGTATATATTATATACACATACTTAATACTTGACAGTTGGCATAACCACTCAAGAGCCAAACATTTCTTCCTTTTAGGCTCATCAACAATAAAGCTCAATATTGTTTCTATACTGTATATTTGTATTTGTAGTGCGTAGACCATGATATATGAAAACTTGAAAGGAACGTCTTTTCAACCTATGATAGTTGTTAAGAGATTAATTCAATTCACACAATCACAATAATTAATTAACTTCATACCATTGACATATATTTTTGTTAGATGAATACTTCTATTGACTGTAAAATAATTGTATTAGTTCCATGTATTTTTGTAAGGTTTAACTATAATTATGTGTTCATCATAATGTTTTATTCATATAAATTTTGAATTGATGCATTAACCGAAAAACTTCTCACTTAATGATAATGTGATGTTATATTAGTTAGTCTGGTTAACCAATTAACCAAACCGATTAAATTTTAGTTTGGTTAATTTGGTCGTTGTATTAGTTTGGACGGTTTGGTTATGATATTATATTCCATGGTTAATAGAATTTTAGCTTGTTTGGGTTGGTAATTACTAATTACCATGGTAACCATTTGAACACCCCTAGTTAGAACACTTACCATGGACAAGACCATATGCTATACGGTCAAGACCATACCGCGTCTGTACAGTGCCTTAGGTACGATCTATACCAAGCAGACCATGTTCAATAAAACTTCACTCTTCGCCATCCCTCTAATCCTCTTCGGTATCCATAAAAATAAAAGGTTGAGTGCCAAATATACCAGTGAAACAAAAATTTAGCGACCGCAACTAACCCGCGAAGAAATATGCGGTGACAAGTGTGCTTTTTTCGATTTCTTACTCGTACTCCAGTCTCCACTACTTTATCGACTATTCACTTACAATAAAAACACAACAAATAACTTCATCTCCCTCTTCCATTTTATGTTATCGCTTCTCTCCGATTTCGGGTGGTCTAAATGGTTCTCGCACTCAATCCCACCACGAAGAAGTGGAGATCGCTTTGAACCACTAGGTTGGCCGCTTTACTCGACAAAATTTCTCTTATCTCACTCTGGTATATAACATTTGTTCTGCATGTTTATATAACCGTCAACCGATGCCTAAGGTCTAGTCTTTGTTTTATCTCTTTGAAGAAAAAGGAACTTTGTAATTTTGCTTTGCTTTTATTTTGGAGGTGTTCAAGATTAAGTCTGCCATAAGGCAGTGGATTTTCGTGCGTTCATTGTGGCGTGATTGGTTAATTTTAGTTGTACTAAATTATGTGTTCTTCTCGATATTTGTGTGTCCGCTGCAGGGTGCATCGTGCGAGCGACTGACATTGTGTCGGAGGCGGTTAAAATTGTGAACAATTTTAGATTATCACTCGGGGCGGTTTAATTTGTGAAGACAATTTTTAGATTATCGCTCTAGGGAGGTTTAAATTGTTGGAACAATTTTTAAACTATCACTCTGTGGCGGTCAAATTGTGAAGACAATTTTTAGATTATCGCTCTGGGGCGGTTTAGTTGTGAAGACAATTTTAAACTATCGCTCTGTGGCTGTTTAAATTGAGAAATTCTTAAGTCATTGCTTTAGAGCAGTTTAAATTGGTGGGACAATTTTTAAACTATCGCTATGGGGTTGTTCGAGCTGTGCAAGAATTTTACTCAAGGCATCGCTCAGAGGCGCTTTGATTATCTTGATATAGTTAGCAAACAAAATACATCGCAGGCTACGATCATATTGACCGTTCAAATGTCTAGCGGCCATGCAATTCATCTCTCTTTACTCTACTCTACCAAAGTACTTCTTCAAGTGGATGACATTCCAGGTCTTTGCTACCGCTTTCCTTCCATTGTGGCGAGCACATACGTGGCAGGGCCTAACTTCTCCCCTACGAGGAACGGTCCCTCCCATATGGCGGCTAGCCTGCCATTTCCTTCCTTCTGGTCAAAGTTTCTTTTCAACACCATGTCGCCCTCCAGTGACATGCGTTTTACCCTGCTGTTGTACGCTCTTACCACCTTCGACTTTTCCCTGATGGTTCGGACCAGCGCTGCGCCTCGGATGAGCTTTTTTTGGTTTTATTCAGGGTCGTAAATTTGGACCCTGAGGGGTGGCCAGATGGGAGGTCGTTTCCACTGGCGCGACCACCTCGAAGCCATACGTTAGAGCAAATGGGGTCTCACTTGTTGCTCTTTTGTAATTCGTGCAATGTGCCAAAAGTACGTGTGGCAACTCTGCGGTCCACCCGCCCTTAGCTTCCTTCAACCTTCTTTTGAGCCCTCACAAAATCATCTTGTTTGACAACTCGACTTGCCCATTGGCCTGACGAAACAGAACTGAAGCCATGCTACAGTTGATGCGGTTTCTGGCGCAGAAGTTCTCAAATGGCATGCTGTCAAACTGCGTACCGTGATCAGTGATGATGGTATGGGGCGTCCCAAACCTAATTATGTTATTGAACAAGAACTTCTGAATCTTTGGACTTGTGATTGTGTCAAGCGATTCAGCTTCTATCCGCTTCGT